TGTGTGTGTGTGTGTGCGTGTGCGTGTGTGCGTGTGGTCCAGGTGACCCTCAAAAGTCGGTGCAGGACCAGCTGCCTCTCATCGTCGGTTCGGCCTCTGCAGGTCTGGTGGTCATTGTTGCCTTGGTGGTTATCGCTGTTGTCTGCCTTAAGTAAGTGTTTGATTTTTTTATTACTGACAGCCTGAACTGCATGTTTCATTTTGTTAGTTAGGCTCTAAACAAAGAGGCTCATTAAACTTTAACGTGCTTTCAAAGTGCATACACTCACTCTTGGGTTTCAAAAAGGAGGAGAAAACTCACAGAGCCGCTCTGTGAGTTGTTTCTTCCTTGGCAGACATGAAGTTTTCACGTGATAGTTAGATATTAGTTTTAATATGCTGTACCTGGAAAGGGTCAACTCTGATTATGTGAATGTGACTTTGTTTATGTGCTGCTTGTTTACAGGAAGCAGCGCAGCGGCTCCGAGCTGGAGTACACTGAGAAACTGCAGCAATACAGTAGGTTCATGTGTTCAGCTTGGGAACTGTGTCCTCTGTGGTCATGCTCGTACAGTTAATCGACTGATTCAATCAATTATCCAATCACCTGATCGAGGCAGGAAATCAGTTCCCCGTTTGTTCAGAGGAGGTCCCGACCAGACAGAGCAGCTGAGCTGACAAATACCAAGCACACAGATGGAGAATGTCAGCATGCAAATATAATCACACCAGAAGTGCTAAATGTGTAGCATGTGATGCTTACCATGGTCACTGTCTCAGTTTGACATTTTCGCACACTTACAGATGCTTTTTAAGATCTAACTGTGCGCAACTCTAACAAAGAGGAAATCACGCAGGCATTAGGATCAGGCAGATCTTAAAACCAAAGTGACCAAAATTTAAACCCCCTAAATAACCTGTCAGCTCTGCCATCCTCTCTCTTCCACCCCCCATCCCTTATGAGAGAGAGAGTGCTACATGTACAGAGATTTTGTGTGTGCTCAGGAACATCCTTAATGCTGCTAATTAAATTGCAGCATTGTAGCTTGGAGTCCCCAAATACAGAGACTTGACGTTCAGTTCCGGCTTTGCCCTTTGCTCCTTTTTAAATGCCAAAAAAACCCATATGGATCTCCAGTTAAATGTTTAAAGTTGAAACCAAATGGCATCAGAAACATACAAGAGATCATTGCTCTGAACCTAGTTCTCCCTCTCTGTCCTTAACAAACACACTGATCGTCTGTCCCAACCTCATCTGTGGCTGTTAACAATACCCATAAATATTTTACTGTCTTCAGCAGGAAGGCAGCATTCAGCATTAACTTGATAGATACTGTTTGCTGTGCGTGTTTCATGATTGAAGTGTTGTGCAGTGTCCTGCGCCTCATATTTGGGAGGCCTACATTTTACATGGTGTGTTAGTTGGTGTTCATGTGGGACTGACTATCCCCCTGGAAAATAATTAACAAATAGCCCATGAATTTCCATCTTTAGAGTGACTTACAGTTAGCATGGCTTGATTTCATTCACTTCACTCAGCCTTAGACATTAGCAAACTTTCTGCCTTTTTATAACTATACTCATGTATAATACAATGTGGATGCTGACTCAGGCTTGTCCCTCTCAGTTTCACCAGGGGTGAAAGTCTATATCGACCCTTTCACCTATGAGGACCCCAACGATGCTGTCCACGAGTTCGCCAAAGAGATAGACATCTCCTGCGTGAAAATAGAAGAAGTCATCGGTGCAGGTAAAAAAAAAAACTAAAATAAACCTGCTGTTGTTTTTGTCTGAGTGGCTGGAGAATGATTCAGGTTTATGAATCATTTATCTGAGCAGGAGTGTGCCATCAAGCCCTGGGGTCTTCTCTGTAAGAGAATCTCTCTCTCTGGGAGAAAGGGGTTAGGATTCAGAGTGTGCATGAGCGGGTGGCTACGACTGAAGGGGAAGTCTTTTCTGAGCTCTTGCCCCTCTAGTCTGTTTTTTTCTTGCTCTCCAGCAGCATGTTGTGTCCTAACTTCACCTCAAATGACAATCTGCTTCCGCTCGTTCAACCTTCCTCCCTGCCTCTCTTTTATTCTTTCACTTTCCCGCTCTCCTGTAAACATTCGTAATCAGGCACCAAATGCAGAACCCCCAAGTTCCTTGTCCATCCTCTGTCTCCCTACACCGCTCCCAGGTTGCACACTCGGTCGATACCAGTCACTCCCTCTCTCCCCAACATCTCTGACCTCTCCTCTTCTCTCTTCTAATCCTCTCCCACAGTTGAAGCTGACCCTCAACTCTTTCAAATCAGCTCCTTCACTCCTGAATCCGACCAGTAACACTCCCTTTCCCTGCACTTTTCCACAACTTCCTCTTTCCCTCCACCCCTCCTCTTCTTTCCTCTTCTCACTCAACCCCTCTCACCCCCTTCCTCCCTCCCTCACCCATCCCCCTTCCCCACCTTGTTTTCTCACTCCAGGTGAATTCGGCGAGGTGTGTCGCGGGCGTCTCAAACAGCCCGGTCGCAGAGAGATGGTGGTGGCGATTAAGACGCTAAAAGCTGGCTACACCGAGCGCCAGCGGCGGGACTTCCTTGGCGAGGCCTCCATCATGGGCCAGTTCGACCACCCCAACGTGATACGGCTGGAAGGTGTCCTGACACGGAGCTCTCCAGTCCTCATCATCACCGAATTCATGGAGAACGGAGCGCTCGATTCCTTCCTCAGGGTGAGCTTGACGGGAGGTGTATGCAGCAACACCTCTGACAGAGAAGATTACTTTCTGTTTGTATCAAAGCTGAGAGGAACACACACATGCAGACAGTCATTCAACACACCTCTGGGTTATCAGAATGTTTTTCTCGCTGTAAAACACCCTGAGGCGCTCACTCGCTGAGTGATAGAGATTAAATGTGCAATATAACGCCTGGAGACAGGCATAGTGTCTCTGCTTGATGTGAGTGACTGATGCTGACAGACTTTCCAATACACAAACTCCTGGTGGAGAACTGTCACACAGCAGACCTTTGGATAGATTTGCTCCAGCGTATTAGAGTCTTTGTACAACTACAGAATACATTACTGATCAGAGTTTCTGGTTCAGACTACCACCACCTACACAATATGCTGAACAAAGGCAGGATGAGAAATGAGGTGTCACACAGTACATTTCCAGCTGCGTGGGGGCTATTACATGTCATTTACATTCAGGAAAATGTGTTTTCTCGCGTGGCTGCACTGTGACGAAGTGTACTTACTGTAGCTGTTAGGCTGAGTGAGGTTACTTAATGTTGTTGCTCTTAAATGCAGTTCATCTTGAAGTGATTTTCAGATTTGTTGCAAAGATTATCGATAATATTATTGAGTCAGCTTGTATTGTAACCTCTCCATATGGATGCACAAAGATAAAAGGCAAAAATTCTGAAATTCTGAAAAATATTTTTTTACAATTGGTGGGTGTTGCATAAAATGTTACAATACTGACACACAAAGTTTTATGATTTGACAAAAATTTGTCAAACCCATTGATTGTTGGAACATCCAACTACAGCCACACAACTATGAGTGAATAAAATACAGATACATTCCAGTTTATTTTGTTGTCACCAAGTCGATCAACAGAAAGTTCACTAACAGCAATTTTGATTTTGAGTCGTCGAATTGTGTAAGTAATGTGTTTTCATCCTGGCTTTTGTCTTTCGAACAGAAGAAACTTGAGGTTTTCCTCTTGGCATCTGCGGAATAGCATTAATTAATAAAAACAAATCAAAACAATACAAAAAACAGATTTATCAAGAATGAAAAGTTAGATGTAGCTTGAATTTCTTCCTCCTTTCAGAACATGATCAATATATTGCATATGTGATCAACTGAATGTATACATTTTGATAATCTCTTGTTGTAAGTCAGTAACCAATCCAGTCAATGTAAACAGTTTAT